CCTGCACGCTGTCCTTCCACGCCTCCAAGCGTAACTTGGACGCTGCTGTAGCTTCTGCATTTGCCAATTCTAGCACTGCACTAACCAACCTGGGGTCATCCAAAGAGAAAAAAGCCAAAGAATGATGTAAATGAGGGCCATCACGAACCAACTTCTTCTCCAACTCTGGCAACGGGGCCTTTTGGTACTCCACCACTCTTCGTGCGAAGCGTCTGAGCTTGCGCTCTTTCACTGTTTGCAAAGAAGGCGCTTTTGAAGACGGAGGACTGGCAATTTGCTGCGGGCCCTGGCGCATAGCACGACCAGTTTTGCCACGTGCGAGAAGAAGAGATTCTGCGCAGTTGCTAAGTAAGGTCCAAGCAGAGTCCACGTTGCCTGTACTCAATGCATTTCCAAAATCGTCACATACTTCTTCCCAAGCACTTAGCCAAGAAGCTTCAGCAACCTTTTCAGAATGCAAAGGGGCACCAACTGGGAGAGTCCACGGTGTGGATAATGAACCAGGCACATGCAAGTTGTAAACCACCGCGTCATGGTCAGCCACGCCAAGATGTTGCTCCCTACCAGTAATAATTAACCGAGGAGTGCACAAGCCATAGTCAATGACCACACCTGTATAAACACCTGCAGCAGTTCGATGTGTACCACCTAAAACACGATCTCCGCAAACCAGCTCATCACAGGACCGCCACTGTCCAGTAGCCAAAACGTTAGAAATTGGCCAACAATGAATTTCCAAATTGAAGTCACCCATGATCACTGTATCTTCACCACAAGTAGCAACAAACTCGAACAGCGCACCCAGCGCACGGCTGGCAGCTGTGCGATCTGAAGCATGTAAGTAAACATTGATGAGAATCAACGGCCTTTGCTGAGGTCTATAGAGTTTGACGGCCATGGATCTTTCCACAGACACCATGTCGACAGGAAGGGCCAAGGCCTCAGCAGGCCACTTTGTTAGAACCAATGTACCACCTTCCACTACATTTTTCGAATTTCTTCCTTGAGGGCCAGGAAAAAGTTGCCACCCGCGTGCCTTGACGGCACGAGTCACAGCATTCCAGCTGTGATTGTTAACTCTAGTTTCTTGAAGACACAGAACATGTAAATTCTGGAGCTGAGCAAAGTCAAGCACACCACCCAAGCGGCCTCCCAAGGACCGTACATTCATAGTCCCCAACCGCATAGTGCTGTCAGAGCCCGTCATGGGTTCTGATCCACAGCGCCATCCTGCTGCAATCCCAAAATGTCCAAAGCTCGCGAAGCAGCTCGCTGTCTGGCACTTGGAGCCTGAGCCGCAAGAGGCACCAAAATATCCCTCTGGCCCTTTCGAAACTTAGTCCAAACCATTTTACGAGGACACTGACTTCCTGTAAGCCGTCTGATGTTGTTGACACAACGCTTGCAATGCACACAAGCAAAACGCACCGTAAAATTGGCAGGCCACACAATGGCCTCAATCTGATGCGTGCTGTCTGCTGCAGTATCAGTGGTGCGAAATGCTCCAGAGTCGATGATTTCCAAAACTGTGCGGGCACCCTTCTTGAGGTCATCGCTGATGTCTGCATTTTTGAGGCACGCACGCAATCTTTCCACCAACTGCTTTCGTTTGGGCCCTTTGCTGGAAGCATACTGTTCACAAGCAATCTTTGCCAAACGCTTCGCTGTCAAAGCCATACTGCCACAAGTTTTGCAAATGACGTAAGACATTCCAACTCTTTTCTGTTTGCCATTTCCTGTGGCTGGAATGGTAACGAAAGTGGGGTCATGTGCTCCAGCATCGCCACGCTTGAAGCCAAGCACCCTTCGAGCCACTGCAGCTGCACGCACCTGGCGCGTGGCTTTGCTAGCATTCTCCCGTCTGAAGCTGCTGTCCTTGTGGAAGAGCTTGGCATCCGCCTGAGGATGTTTGTCTTCCCTATGCTTGCGGATGACGCTGTACACTTGGCCAGGTTTGAGGTTGTGATCAGCGGACAAGCCAAGTTTGCAAACAGGACACTTCCAGCTATAGACTCCTCCCTTCTTGACCGCAGACAGCGCAGGCAACGTGTTTTTGAAGCCGATTTTCAACTGTTCCTTCTCATCGGGATGCCAAGCATTGATATGAGCTCTCTTCTTGTCAACCCATCCTTTGCACACCCCAGTGGAAAAGTCACACAAAGGGCATGTCCACTCAGTACGCTTAGTGCGTCTGGACGAAGCACTGGCTGCGTCTTGTCCTTCACTGGCTGCACGTGGCGTGCACGGACCCCGACCCGAAGTAGCAGCCGCAGGGGAAGAAGAATTCTTGCGCTGCTCTGACAAAGTAGAGGCGGGCGCGGGGCTAGCACACCTTCCACGTTTATTGTTGCTATGAACCAGTGACGGCAAAGCTGACAATCTGGTGGCACCAACTGAAGTAGCGCCACATTCCGATCCTCCACCTCTGTTGCCCTGCATTGGACCATTTGCGGCCTGAGTCAAAACTTCAGGAGGGAAAGCACCTTCAAGTCGTTCATAGTGCTTTGAACGAAACCACAAAGCGATGGGAGCACCACCCTTGCCACGACCATTGTAAATCTCCGGAACCCCACGAGGTTGGAAGACAATGATCGGGCGATCGTAGTGCACAGCCGCAGCAGAAACTTCAAGAGCACTGCCCCAAGCACCAATCTTTGAGAGCATGGTGAGATAGCTCTCCCATGATTCGCAAGCATTCTCCGCCTCTGTTGGCTCCTTGCCGTCCCACCAGGGCTTGTAACGACCCTGGTGCTTGGTCAGGTGGGTGACAACGCTTGCACGCACATTCCTGGCTGTTTTTCCGCCCAAACTTTGAGCAAGGGCTTCAAAAAGACAGTTGCCGTCAGCAGGGATGCTTTTCACCTTCATATTGTGAGGGGGCTTGGGTTCCCCCGCAACACGCTTGGCCGGAGGACTCTTTTCAGGAGTACTGACAGTTCTTTTTGCCCCAGCGGGTTCTCCAGCATTGTCCATCTTTGCGTCCGACTTGTCCTCGTCCAAATTCTCAGCAGGAACCTTCTCAGCCCCTGCAATAGTCACTGGCTTTTTGACTGGCGTTCCCATGTAGAAAGATTTGCGAGGAGCAGGCGTGGCAATCGCCTGCCATGCATGGCTCTGGTTATAACTGACCCTTCCATTGCTAGCCAGTTTCATGGTATGTGTTCTCTGCCGTCTTTGTCTTGGAGCTTCAACAGCTACAATGACTTTTTCGCCAGCCTGAATTTCAATGAAATCCATATCCTTTTGAGCATTGGCCTGCACCCACCATTCCACTTGTTTGCCCACAGTTTTCCGGGACAACACCTTGAGTTCAGTCAGGCCAGCACGTGTAAGTTCCTGAGTCAAGGTACTAGCCGCCCAATCTCGCGGAACACCAGTGACGCGCCAAGCTCTGGCCTTAGGAGGAGGCTCGGCGCTCCTGGGCTTACGTACTCCCAGTCCATTCCATCCCCGGGCAATGCCCAGGTCACCAGCCATGGACTGAACCTTCTGCAAGTAGCTGGGCCCATCAAGTTCCGAACTTTTCTTGACCCACTCAACATCGCAAGATTCAATCACGGAGTTGTTCCATTGCAAAGGCTCCACAAACCAGGTACTTTTGCCTGAGCAGCCTAGAAGAGCTTTGGCAGCACTTCGCTCAATGCGTAAAAGGCCAGTGATCACTGGCTTGCCTCCGCCTTTCATGCTTTCTTGCTGAAACGCCCACATATCAAAGACTTTGTCCGCAACATGCTCTGGAACATGCCGATGCAACCAAGCCTGCGCGTTTGCCTTTGGCTTGGCCTGGATGCTCTGCCACTCGTTGTTTTGCAAATATTTTGCATCAACACTTAATCTCACTACAACAGTTTCAGGCTGCACTGCAGGAGCCGCTGACACAACGGCAGCTCTCTTGAGTGATGGCCCTTGGCCTTGAAGTGGGATCACAAACGCCTGCCTGGGCTGCACCTTGCCCGAGATCTTTCCTGGCACCATCCGCAAAGGTCGATCCTCTCAGTCTGCTTGGCCTCTTTCGGCGCTAGCATCACAGCTGTGATGTTGAGCTCTCTTTTGATATCAGGGGAATCGCCTTTCAGCAAAACCTGCAACTCCTCAAGTTGCTCTTCCGAGTTCACTTGCACTGTAGCTGAAATATTTCCAGGCTTATCCAGTGCGACACAAAAGTCATCAAAGCCCAAAATGGGCCCCGTCCAGTCTGACTGACGCAGGCTCCACACCGGCTTAAACGCAGTGTTGGCTCGAACCACTTCAGCAAAGGTCTTGGGCGTTTTGTGGAGCTGCTGCTCTGTGTGTGGCTGTTTTTGGACGTCCGCCTTTTGCTTAGGATGTGGTTTCGAAGTATTCTGCGGAGGCTGAGTAGGAGGAGAAGAAGGGTAAAAACCACCCCCTTGGCCGTAATCCCCCAGACCACCATCACCGCCCTGTTTATTTTTGTTCTTGTTCTTAGTCTTCTTGGGTTTGGCACACCCGCCATGGCCCATCATAGCACTGAGCTGTTGAAGCAAATTCCCACCGCCACCCCCGAGTCCCAACAATTGGAAAAGCTGAGAGAGTAGTTTGAGAATCTCACCTGCTTGTTGCAAATTGAAGCCATTTGCTTGGTTATTGCTTTGTTTCTGTTTCCTTTTGCGAGCTGTTGCTCTGCTTCCTGCACCATTGCCATGCATGGCATGCATCAATGCGTTCCGCTCTTTTGAAGACACAGCCCAAATCTTCTGAAGCAAATCGAAACTTGCAAGCACCACATCTGAACAATTCGTTTCTAAGCACTGCCAAGGCCCATCAGCAATGCATAGACCCGCAGCCACCGCGCGGAGGTTGTCCAGATAGCTGCAACTGTGGAGTCGATGAACGGATTCGCAGCTTCGCAAATCCGGACTCTGTGGTTAGATGTCAGGCAGAGGTATCCTGAGCTGGACGTGAGCAGCAACCTCACGCCATGGCTTGTCCGCCACGCGGCGTGGCTCATAGCCAGATACCACACACGCAGCAGAGATGGCATGACGCCATACAAGCTGGTCACAGGAGGTGACTACAACCATCCTGTAGCCACGTTGGGAGAAATAGTGCTTGGCAAGGTGCCGAGCCCCAAAGGCAAGATCCAACGCCGATGGATCAAAGGAGTGTGGCTTGGAAAGCTGGACAGGGACGACAGCAATGTGCTTGGCACAGCGTCAGGTGCAATCGCTGTGCGGTCCATAAGGCGACTGCCCAAGGAGGGACAGATCAGCTCAGAACTGATGGCAGCCATGAAGGAAGGGGACCCCTTGGCAGCCGAGAGATGGTGTGAGGCATAAGATCACTCGTGAGTTGTCTCAACCAATCGCTTTTCCAGCACCAGCCGCATCGGGTAGCCCCGAGCGAGAAGAAGCAGCAGATCGGGAGCATCCGACGCTGGCAGTGGACGGACACAACGTCCACCACGACGCCCTCGTGGTGCAAGCCGCGGCACAGCTAGAGGAAGAGCTGGAACCGATGCAGGATGCGGAGGAATTTCCAGATCTAGCGGGTGGCCCCGCAGACGTCAGTCCCGTTCCAACAACGCCAGCGGAATCCGAGATTGCAGATTCCGCCGCCCGAGCACGGGCCGAGCGGGTCTCCACCGCCCTTTCGGGGAGCGGGATGGTCCTCAAATTTGCAAAGTCTTCCCAATGAACCCATGAGTCCATCTGGATTGGGGGCAGGAGGGAAGCGAGAGAGGGCTAATCCGGGAGAACTGAAGACCGGCGAAGCTGATGCAAAGCAGCCCCGGCAAGCAGGGATCTTGCAGCACTTGACAACCAAAGAGATCTGGGAGAAAATCCAGCAATGGGGAAACTCAGAAGAACCGAACAACCCAACAGCGATCCAGCGAATCTCCAATGTGACAGAATTCGTCGATCAGATGCTCGACCCTGAGGAGGTATCCAAAGCCCGAAAGGCACAACTACGAAAGCTGTGGGAGCGAGGAGCGTTCACTCCCATCCACAGAAAAGACATACCCCAGGGATCGCAGCTCTTTGGTCACAAATGGGTAGACAAGTGTTCACGAGGGACTTACAAGTCGCGCTTCACATGCGCAGACGTCAAGGCGCGATACACCCAAGAGCAAGAGGCTGAGCTGGATGTTTTCGTGCCAACTCCAACTCCTGAGTCTCACAATGTCTTAGAAGTATACGCCCTCATGAACAAGTTCTACACGAGGAGCTTAGACATAGTCGCAGCCTTCCTCATAGGAAGGGACCGGGGCGCAGCACAAGGTAAACCGGTCTATGTCCGAGCACCCATCGAATGGTGGGATCTCTTCCTCGAATGGCTCAAGGAAGTCAACCCAGCGGATCGGCAGTGGTACAAGGATCGGTTCAAAGAAATGTGTTTCCGGCTGGATGGAAACCTCTACGGTCGAAGAACGGCCGGATCTGTGTATAGAAACGAGCTAGAAGAGATAGTGTGCTCGCGGGTAGACCCGCAGCGGTATGCTTTTGTCAGGGGTCAGAAAGATCCGTGCATTTTCCGGTGCACCAAGACTGGCATTGTACTGCTGCTGCACCATGTGGACGACATCCGCGCAGCAGGACCTTCAGAGGCCCTATAGCGCATCTCTTCGAACAAGAACTACCGCGACACTGCGAAGTGCAAGCGGGAGAACTCGAAAAGGAGGGAACGGCAGTGGAATACCTGGGACGCACCAAAGTGCGCAGTGAAGATGCAATCCTCACCATCCCAGACGAAAAGCACAGGCAAGCCGTGATCTCCGCAGCGGGTATCTCCGCGCGTGACAGGAGTGAGGTTCCGTCCAAACAACTGAACCTTCTGGAAACCACTCCCCTGTCCGAAGAAGAAGCAAAACGCTATCGCAGCGCAGTAGGATCCGCGATCTACCTGAGTTTGGATCGCAGAGACATACAATATGCTGTGAAGGAAGCAGCGAGACACATGTCGCAGCCAAGGCAGTGTGACATGAAAGCTGTAAAGACACTTGCAGCATACCTGCAAATTCACCCCACGGTTGGCAGGGTGGTAACATGTGATCCGCCAAGTGCGACTGGCGAATGGAGCATAGAGTTGTATTCCGACTCAGACTGGGCAGGGTGCCTCGAGAGCCGAAGGAGCACCGACTGTCATGTGGCAGTAGTCTGTGGAGCTGTGGTTGCTTGCACAACCCAGACGCAACCCGGACTGCCAGCTACTAGCAGCCCAGATGCGGAACTAAGAGGTGTATCCAGAGCAGCCAGAGAAGCAATCTACTTGCGCGATCTCATCACCTTAGATTTTGGCCAACTGTGCGGGAAGCCCCGCCTATGGACCGACAGCTCGTCGGCCATGCAGGCAGCGAAACGCATAGGTCCAGGAGCCAAGTTGAGGCACCTGGAAGTCTGTGAGTTCTACGTGCAGGGAGCGATCCAGTCAAAGCAGCTCGCTTTGGGAAAGGTGAAAGGAACGCTCAACTGTGCAAACTTTCTGACGAAACATCCCAAGTCAGGGACAGAGGTAAAGCAAGCCCTACCTGGACTGGGTATGTGCGAAGCTCACGACGGAGAGGATGTGCTATCATCCACAAAGCGCATCTCCGTCAAGGTCTCGACTGTGACCAAGCAGCATGCTTGGAAGACTCCGGTCCCAGCAAGCGTTGCTTGGATCGACAACAGAAAGGACCGAGCGGGTAGCACCGCCCCGAAAACAAAGGGCAGTGTGAACTACATCAAGTCATTGGTGATTCTCAGCCAGATCACCGCAGTGCGAGCGCAGGGACAAGGAAATCAGTGGATCAATCCAATTGTCCTGTACATCCTCGCGCTCATAGGCTTGTTAGCCATCTATGTGAAGCTGTATCAGCTAGGAGTGCTGATCACAGACTGGCTTTTCCCGCCTGAAGGCGAAAATCAACTTCCCGAACGGCCCGAAGAAGTTGAAGGAGCCGAAGTACAACTTCAGCTGGATAGTGCTACGGTGCGCCTCAACATCACCGCCTACCGAGACGGTAGACAGCTGAACATCAGCCAGACGGTGAATGCGCCAGCGGTAGCCCCGCGGCTAGGTTCCGCGGAAGCCCCGCAGCCTCAACCGGCGGAAACCCCGCGGCAGGAGGAGCTAACTCCTAGTCGTATCGAGCGCTGGTCAGAGGAACAGTGGGTACAAAGAGGGGCAGAAAGCAACTGATCGAATGGCGCAGGCGCGAAGAAAGGCTGATTCATGGGCAAGACCCAGACTCCAGCCAAGATAAGCCAGGTGAGTCAACTTCGCACAGTGCGGACAGCCCCGCCTCTGAGCGGGATGTACCGCCTGAGCGGGAGGAACCGCCTGAGCGGGTAGCACCGCCCGAGCGGGCGGAGCCGCCGATCTCCAGTTCCGGCCCGGAGCTCTTGACGGGAGACCCAGCCATTGAGCGGGAAGCTCCGCTAGATCCCTTTGATGGGATGAGTCCAAATGAGCTCCAGCAGTGGCGCGAGGCCGAGAACAGAGTTCTGGGGATCGAAGGCGGCAGCTCCAGTGGCGGCAGCCCTTTCTCTGGCCACAGCTAGCCAGGAGAGGTATAGCTACGTCTCACCAAGAACCCGGCAGTGAGCCATGCCACTCTAAGGAGGGTGGCAAACTGAAAAGGGTAAAACCTAGGAATTAGGTAGCTACTGTAGTTAGCTAGGCAGTTCACTAGGTAGAGACGGCATGGCATGACAACAGCTCATGACCGCAGCCCCTTTTGCACAACCGTGCACTCAAGGAAGGAAAAAGGTGCCACTGTGTGGCAGCTTGTCCAACTAGCGGGGTAGGTAACTTGTGAGAGCCCAATACGCTGACCACTACCATCTCTGCCTTTGCAGAGGCAGATATTTTGGCATGTGTCCATTCCCACTGTCGACAGATATTGTCGATGAGTTTGTTCAGCAATTGGTGTCGGAGAACAAGCCAGCTTCCAACATCAGAGGTTTCGTCGAAGGCCTCAATTTTTGCAAGTACGTTGTGGGAATGGACGTTTGTGGAGGACAATCCGACATAGTTTCTGCAAAAGTGAAGCGGCTCATTGAGAAACAAGACTCAATCCGTAAGGAAAAGGTGCAAGCCAGGGTACTGACGGTCCAGGAGGTCGAGTTCTTAGAGACGTTCCTCTCTGACGAAAGAGCCGACATCACTGACCGAGTTGCCTGCGGTTGCATGCTGTTTTGCTTGTACAGCAGAAGCAGGTGGTCAGACATCCGAAAGATTTACAATTTCGTTTCTGACATTGCGGAAGATGATGGCAAGATTTCTGGATACCTTGAATGCCGGACCCGATCACATAAAACTGCCAGACTCGTAGCGAAGGGTGGGATCTCCATGCCTTTGGTGGCACCAGTGTGGGGCATCACATCGCCCCCTTGGGGATTATCCTTCTTGAAAGTATGCAAGCTGGCACAGCGAGACATCGATCAACTGGATCATGAACCACTGCTGGCGGCCCCCACAGCCGATGGAGGATGGTCTTGCAGATCGGTCACAACTAAAGAGGCAGGTAAATGGATCAGGAACCTCCTCAGCCAAATGGAAAGCGGCGAAAATTTCACAACCATCCACACCTTGAAGGGGACTCCCCTTTCCTGGTGTGCCAAGTGGGGATTAGACCCGGATTCTCGTGCGATCCTTGGGCATCATGCCACAGGCAAGAGCTCGGTCGAATGCTGCTCAAGAGACAATTTGGCCAAGCCTTTGAGAGAGTTTGAGTTGGTTCTTCAACAAATCCGAACCAGAGCCTTCTCCCCTGACGCCACCAGGTCAGGAATGATCAAGGACAGTTCGATCGAAGATCCAAAATTAGCTTTCTCAGTGCCTGCCCTCCATAATCGGGATCCTGAAGTATCATCCGAAAGTTCCTCCTCGACCACAGACTCCGATAGGTCCGATGCATCCGAACCAGAAGAAGCTGGAGAGCACGACCCTGTCGTTGCCCCCAAAACTTGGGACCCTGATTATGACATGTACCGCAATATGAAAAGCAAGATTGTGCATATAACTGCACATGGTGGGGCCGAAATCTTCAGTTGCGGGGTCAAAATCAGTAGTGATTATGAACTCATACACAGCTCTCAGTTCTTAGACTTGCGCAAATGCAAGCGCTGCGCCATATCGAAGCCAATCAGAACTGTCGGACAGATGGCATCCGGCCTCAAGAAGTGGCGACTGGCCCATGAGAAAGAAAAAGGAAAGCGCCTTGGGTATGGGAAACCATGTACACAGGCAAGTGCCTGATCGACACATGTGTTTGTAGGCAAGTGCCTCATCATTGTCGAATCATGCAGGTATAACGTCGACATGACAGATTTGACCCCTAGGCAAGTGCTTGTCATCGCTGGAGGCACACAAGTGAGATTTCAGTCTGAAGACACACAGTTAGTATTGACAGTTTCGAGTGAAACTTGAATGTGGGTGTCCGAGGCTTAAAAAAAAAATGCTGAAAGTCAACTGTCATGATGATTTGGACTTCAACACAATGAACACATGAAGAAGAGTGTCCACATATGTATATCATATTTTGGATTTATCAGCAACACCTTTCACAGTGTTTCTTTGACAACCTTGTAACATCGCAGTGTCATCGTCATGGGAACGCTTCTTGAGTCCAAAGAAGCCCTGTGATCCAGAGGTTTGGAGGTGAGCCTCACACCAGACGAGGTCAATGCACTCATCAACAACAGAGTTGACCCACTTGCAAGGTTAGCATTCGCTGCATGCCCCCCGGGAGATGCACCCACAAATGAGCAGATTGATAGCCTGTTCAATGGACAAGTGGCACCAAACCCCGGGACGTATGCATCCATGAAACGCTTGATATTTGAGGCTCAGACCTTATTATCTGCGGAGCTGCAAAACAAGGTCCACAAAACAGATGAGCAGGTGAAATCCAAACTCGCACCTGCAGAGAGGGACAACCGTATCAAGGAACAACGTTCAAGGCTTGAAGGTCTCCGGTTCAAAGGAGAGGAAGAGTGTTCACATCAAAGTTACGACATTGTGTTGAACATGATGGAAAAGGACTCACTTGTTTATCTTGCACCTGAGAAATTCGCAACGAGGAGGAGTGAGTTGGCAATGAAGAAGTCAGCCAAGGAAATCGCAATTGACCAGACATCACTCATTGTCAAGGACAAAACCCAGGATCTGTCATGTGCTACCACCACGGAGCTCGACACAACGAATGCGATGAGGAGGAGAGCCCTCGCCTTCGATCTTGTGAAGGCATGTAGCTATCATACAATGAACTCCTACCATGCTGAGCTCTTTGACCACTTGCACTTGCAGGCACCTCCCGGATACTCTCAAGTTTCATTGGCACAGTTGCTGAGAGCAGATCGAGCGGCATGGCTTCACATTGCTGAAAAGATCACCACCCTGAAGAGGGATGAACATGGGACACTGCCACTTGAAGATGAGATCAGCAAAGTGTTAGCCCATCCCGCAGTTAGCTTCCATCTACTGCCATTGCCATTGAAGTCATCGCAGCCTGAGAAGCCAGCAGCGAAACCTGCTGCTCCAGCGCCCAAGCGAACAAGATCCAGGACACCTGTGAAGCCTGTTCCTGCACCCCCAAAAGGCAAAGGCAAAGGAAAAGGCGGTAGGAACAAGAAGGGACGCGGCCCGAACATTCCGTGTGGCCTGATAGGCAAAGCTCTCCAGACCAAAGCTGGTGAGCGCCTTTGCTGGGCATTTAATTTGCCACAAGGGTGCCAAGAGGCAAAACCCGGAGACAAGTGCTCACGAGGCACTCACTTGTGTGCTGAGCCTGGGTGCGAACAGCACCATAGCCTGCAGAACCATCGATGACAAACCCCGGTGGACGACCCAATTATGCATCCTGATCCCATTCGAAGCAATGAGAACTCAACCAAGGGTCGTCCACTGTCAGATTATTTTTGCCTGGAAATTTTCGCCGGCTCAGGAAAACTCACAGCCGCCCTTAGATCAGTTGGCTTGCGTGACAGTTTTGGGATAGATGTAAAGCTTCCTCCGCACTTGCGCAGTCCAATAATTAAATATGATTTGCTCAGGCCGGAACACCTGACACTAGTACAGGAACTCATTGCATCACCATTTTGCGTCTATGTGCATTTTGCACCGCCTTGCGGCACAAGCTCGAGAGCCCGGCTCATCCAGCGTAAGGGCAGATGGAACCCGCCCATCATACGCACCGAAAAGCACCCAAATGGCATTCCTGGTCTGTCAGGTGTTCTTTCAGCAAGAGTTCAGGCGGCCAACCAATTATACCAAATCACCTGTGATCTAGTTGAATTCTGCATTGAACATGAAAAATATTTTTCTGTTGAAAACCCTGGACGGTCCTTCATGTGGTTGACAACGTCCTTTCAAAAATTTTGCAAAAAGTTTCCCCTCAGAGAAGTGTTTTTCCACCACTGCAGATATGGAAGTTCACGCAGGAAACTCACGAAATTCTTGCACAACATTGCTTCTTTTCAACATTTAGAGTCCTACTGTGATAATAGTCACACCCACGAACCTTGGGGACAAAGCCCATCCGGGCATTGGAGAACATCCGAGGAAACAGCTTACCCTTGGGATTTATGCCGTGCCATTGCATCCAAGTTAGCACTACAGTTGCAAGAAGATGGCATCCAATGCCAACCACCTGCATTTGCGACCCAAGAGGCCGGGTTGCAAACCATGCGTGCCACTACTAGCTTGCAACCCAGGCGCGGCTTACCACCAATGGTACCAGAATTCAAACAAATTATAACACATCCGGCTCACCTACCGCTGCCATCTAATTCACGCAAGCTCAGCACTCCTCACCAGGGGATTTCCGCGAGTGAAAAGGATTGCAGCAGCCATTGCTCAAGTGGCCTAAACACGGACCATACGATAACGGTTGGTATACACCATACACCAGAAGAGTTCGTGAAGCAAGCCCTTGCCATAGGACACCCCACTAGGTTCCACTCGTTTTTCCCTGATGAAATAAATGAAGTTGTGCAACACTGTGCGCATAACACTCCTGGAGACCTCGCTCGAGAACGAACTGAGGAAATCAAAAGGTGGATTCACTTGGCCAGCAGTCTTTCAGGTGCAGAACGCCATCTTAAAGAAAACATGTCGAGTAGGAGGAGGCAAGTCTTACAGGGCAAAAACCTTCTACTCTTCAAAACTCTTATGGGAGATGCTATGCACAGAGATTCGGAACTTGTTGACCAGCTGGCTTCGGGTTTTGATTTGACCGGGAGCCTCCCCGAGTCACAAGTTTTCGCCCGGAGATTGAGACCAGCTGCCATGTCTTGCGTTGAGCTCAGGAGGATATCGGAATTATGCCGGCATAACATGTTGCAGACAGTGGTGTCATCAGGGGACCCAGATCTTGACAGTCAACTATATGCGGCCACCATGAAGGAGGTCGACAAAGGTTTCTTGATAGGGCCCGTCGAACCTGCAGACCTTCCTGAAGGCTCCACATTGACTAGACGTTTTGGGGTCAAGCAGAAAAGCAAAACGAGACCCATAGATGACTACAAGGCATCTTTCGTCAACAGTAGCGTGTCGCAAA